AAGGGAATGTCAACATTCCTGTTCTCTCATGTTATCTGTAGAGATTTTGTGTGTCAGTATGTTGTTTGAACTTATTAAAGGATATTTTTATCTTTATGAAGATTGATATGGTTGTATTACTGTGTTCTCTTCAACTTAGTTTATGGTGACATGGGCTCTAATAACTTTCATTATTCATATTCTTTGGCTTACTATTCTCCTTTGTCACGTTGTGAGTATGTATTTGCTTAATATGAAAAACAAAATTTAGCATTAATGGCATTTATGCTCCTGGTGTGGTGGCCAAACAGGGCCCTTACCTATAGCGATGTATAAACTGTGAGGTGAGTACCATGTTTTAAGTTGATGACCGTGATTTATGTTTATTCACATTTAATCTATGGAAAGATGTAATAGTTCATACAAAAGCTTTTAGCAAGTAATATTAAAAAAAAATCCTTCAAAGCCCTGTGGCTCAGGATTCCTGGACCTAGAAAATAGTTTTTGTAACCTAAGGGGTTTGTGTTGAATTTGGATTATTGCCCCTTTTCTTCCAGTCCAATTGAAAGCATTCTTACCTTATGGGAGAGCAACAGATGTTTTGCCAAAGCCCTTGCCTATTGCCACAGTCCATCTGAGAAAAAGACTGTGACCATTGGAATCTCAATCTCCTGCTCAACTCAGACAATCTGGATTTAAATTCAGCACTATCACCTTCTGGCTGTGTGATTTTTGGCAAGGTGTCATTGTTAGCATAGAGGAACACTATCTCCTAAGACTGCAGCTGAAATTAATATAGGCAGTAATTATATGCACAAGAAGTTAGTTTTCCTTTTCCTTGCAAAGAATGGGAGAGAGGATTTTATTTATTTATTTATTTATCTATTTATTTATTTATTTATTTATTTATATTGTAGCATATTATGGGGGTACAGTGTTAAGGTTATATATATTGCCCATGCCCCCCCTCGGGAGAGAGGATTTTAAAAGACAGGTTTCTAGAGTTACCAGCTGCTTTATGTTGTTGTTTTCAGCGTTTTAATAGCATATAGAACTTGCAGAAACCATTCTGGGAACTTGAGGAAGAAAGTCATATGCCAGAAAAGGCAGAGGAAAAATATAGAATGACCTGGGTCCTCAATGACATACTAGCATTGTAGAGCTTCCTGTAAGACTTGTGGCATCAAATAAATAAATCCCTGTCAGGCGAGGTAGGCATTTGTTACTTGCAGCTGAATGAAATCTCAACTGAGAAATTGCTTAGGTATCTCCTAGTTGCATTTAATAGGGGCATCTAAGAGGTACAATAATGGAGTGACTCTAATGGCAGGCCTACTGAGGAGAGACTTTGTGGGGTTTACTTGGTTGTCCTTCAACCTGCATCCTGTGGCTGGCTGTCCAAGGATAAAAGTAACCCTGCCTTTGTCCCGACCTTGTGATAGCCTCTTCATATAGTTGCATTTCTATGCTGGAGCTAGCTAATGAAACAGAGAGTCAGTTGAAAATTTATATGAAAAAGAATAAAATACACTTTTTCACACAAAAATAATTTTTCTTGTGTATTTAAGCAATGATTTTAAATTAAGTGTTCTCTTTTACTGCATTTTTGTGTCAGTAGATCTGTTTCATCAGCTCTTTCCTTGCATTGCGTGGTATCAGGTCACCATTTTGTCCAAGCACCACTGTGTTCCACATGACTTGTGATTCTGGATTTGTGCAATGCCCTAGCCCTGGTTTTGTTTTTGGAAAAGCGATAGGGTCTGCCTTGAAACCACATAACACAAAGGCTTTTCCTATAGTATTTCTCTTCTTTGCTTATAAGGCAACAACACTTTGTCTAATCGAGCCTGTGTTGGTTCCCCTTACTTGTTATTTTGGAATGCTCAGTTTCCTGGTAAGGATGCACATTCTTCATATGCAAGTGGAACTTTTAGTATCTGAACATCTTTAGTCCTTTAATCATTTAATCAAATGGTTGGAAAGAGTATTGATTACACGTTCTAGCCTTGATCAAATTAGGAGTCCCCATGGTTTGTTCCTCTTAGAATTGTCTCTTCTCTCTACATTTTCACTGCTTTCATTGTTTGTTATTCTATTTCTGAAAGCATCTATATTAAAATAATGTAAGGCCATAAGACAGGAATAGTGATAAAAGTCTGATTTATATAGACATATAGATATAGGTAAAAGTTAACCAGCCATTGTTCCTTAACTTTCTTCCTACTGCTGTAACTGCTTACTGCTTAAGTGTCATGTATCTTTGACATGGGCAAGATTTGTGATGTCCCCAAATGCTTCTATAGATAACACCACTGTTGTAAGAACCTAAGACTAGTCTTTGAGATATCTTCCAGATTCTGCATTCAGGGGGACCAACTGACATCAGCTGTACCAGTGGCCATTGATGGAAACTGATCCAATCCTGCTACCCCCTACCCAGGAATTCCTGTTTACCAAGAAGACAATTGCTGCTTTCCAACTATTTGAGTTTATTCCCAGCCAATCAGCAGACCCAATTGCCTACTCCTTTGTTTGCCAAGCCACCTTTAAAAATCTTAGCCCCCAAATTATCTGGGAGATGGATTGGAGAAATTACTCTCATCTCCTCACCTGGTGCCTTGTGTTATTAAACTCTTTCTCCACTGCAGCTCTTGCTTTCTGAGTATATTAGCTTTTATCTGGGTGGTTGGCAAGGGACCTGATTGGACAGTAACAAATTTGGGTGCTTGTCTAGTATCACTTGCCTGTGGTTCAGCAGCATTTGCTGATGGGGTGGACTTAGGGGTGTGCCTTTGTGGCTGCACAGTCCCTTTTGGACTGTATGTCATCTTAGGTGACATCTGTAGCGGTGCAATGTTGTTGACCTCTGGTGCTTAAAAACTTGGTTTGCAGCTATGAAATAGGTCTGAGACAAGAAAAACGCCTTTGGTGAACATTTTAAGCACATCTAATATCCTTCATCCTTCCTTCTCTTGATTTGTCAGCCTCTTTTGGAAGTTTTGTCAGCCCTTGGTGGGTCTTGGTCATCTTTCCTCTTAAGGAAAGTTTTGTCTTGGGGAAGGTTTCTAACCTTTGCATGGAGAATAGGGAGCCGATCTGGAAAAATACTCTTGAGAACTTTTGGTTTATTTATTTGTTTAGTGTTTTGAGACAGAACCTTGCTCTATTGCCTGGGCTAGAGTTCAGTGGTGTCATCATAGCTCACTGCAACCTCAAACTCCTGGGCTCAAGTAATTCTCCTGCCTCAGCCTCCCAAGTTGCTGGCACTACAGGTGCACACCACCACACCTGACTAATTTTTCTATTTTTTTGTAGAGACATGGTCTCACTCTTGCTCAGAGTGGTTGTGAACTCCTGACCTCAAGTGATCCTCCCAGAGTGCTAGAACTGCAGGTGTGAACCCATGTGCCTGCCTGAGAACTTTTGGTTTAGAACTTTGTTTTGAAGGGCTATTTTTCCATTTGATTTGTTCCATTTGTTTATGTCTGGGTCTGTTTCATTTTGCTGTAATCATTTTCTTTGATTGTGCTATCCTCTTACCTGTGCCTCCCCTCCACTTTATTCCCTAATGTGTCTCCTATAGAGTGAGGGGATCACCACAGCCTGTTGGGATCATCAGGAGACTTTTTCAGGTATCCTCCCCCCTACCAGAGCTGAGGGGGAGTGCTTGAAAAACCAGTGCAGTAGCTCCCTGGTTTCCGTCGGCCATCTTTTGGAGTGTGCCCTTAAAATTCTTCCCCCTTGGCAACGTAGAGCAAAGCCATTTTTTGTTCCCTGTTCCAGCAAAGCCCCTCCCTTGATTACTTGGTTTTTCTCAAGAAGTGTTATATAGGGAAAGGGTTTCTATTTTGGGAGCTGGGGATTCTGTTCAACAGCAGTGGAACTATGTCTTACCCTATCCTATTGGGATTCGTTTTGAGGTTATCATGAGGCATTTCCATGGTAGGGGGGACGGGTGAGGGGGTACCTCAATTCATATTTGTGGAATGATGCTAGTGCTTATTGTGTCTCCAACCTGTGGGGAAGCCACCAAGTGCCCCTTCTGGCATTTTGGACTTCTTATCAGGCAGAGAGAATTAAATATTTGATTTGGGTCTGGTCTAGTAGATCATATGATTCCATGAATCACTGGAGACTCCCTCTCAGGAGATGGAGAAATTTGTAACAGACAATCAATAGTATGAGAAACCAGGCATCTGCCATACTGAGGAGAGCCAGCTGGGAAGCCTCCTTGAGAATTAGAAATTTTTGGATGCCCCAAGCTGACTAAAAAACAGTTTTTCTTTATAACATAGCTTGGCCACAATACTCAGTGGGGTCAGAAGGACAGTGGTCAGTGAACGGATCCCTTAACTATGTTTCTGCAGTTAGATTTATTCTCCAAAAAGACAAAAAAATAAAAAATGGAATGAGATTCCTTATGTGCAGTGTGTTATGCTACTTTGGCAAAATAAACCAAAGCAAAAGAGATGTAAGGTTATAATACAAAAGGCTAGTGGTGAATAAAAGCCTGTGTTGCTTGAACCCCAAGAAAAGAATGATGATATTCGGTTTACCTGGTTAAATAGTTCTTCCTTCCCCTCCTTATGAAGGGGCTGGAGCTGTGCCCCCTGCCCCTGAACCAGAGTCTCAACCTCTGCAGGGCCAAGGGCAACAGGCATGATCTCCCCCTCCCATAACAGACAGAGAACCCAATCCAGTCAAGGTGCCACTGTAGTGCCAAGAGGGCAATTTCCTCTTCGGCAGATACCTATAGGGGGCATTGATGCTGCCACAGGTCAGCTGCGGAACTTGTCTGGGTCCACTCTCTGTTCTCCACCTTTGATTTATTTAATTGGAAAAACAATATGCCTACATCTGAGGGACAATCTGAGGAAAACAGAAAGCTTGTTTTCCTCAGTATTTACAATCCACAACCCCAGTTGTGTAGATGTTCGGAATTTCCTTAACACTTTACTGACCTCACAGGAAGATAGAATGGTTCTAGATAAGTCCAGGGAAGAAGCAGACTGCATGCATTCTGACTCTCTTGGTAACCTGGTGATGGCAGCTGTTCAGGTCAAAGTGCCCACCTTGGACCCAGGTTGGAATATAAATAATGGAGACCGAACTAAGCTTGGGCATCACAGAGACTGCATCTTGGCTGGCCTCTGCGAGGGGGTGCCAAAACTGTGAAGTTTTAATAAGGTACAGGAAATTAGGCAAAAGCCTCACAAGAACCCTTCAGAATTCTTAGGATTTTCAATGTATACAGACAGTACATGGACATTGATCTGGAAGCACTGGCAAATTCTGAAATGGAAAATATGACTTTATTATTTTTTTTTGTTGTTGGTTCCTCGATCTTGGATAAAATATGACTTTAATTAGCCCAAATACTCCTGATATTCAGAGAAAATTACAAAAAACAAATGGGGTTTTGAGTATGCCTGTCTCTTAATTAACAGAGATTGCTTTTAAGGTGTTCCCTGATTGAGATGAGGTGATAGAAAAGAGAGAACAACAGAAAATGAAACAGAAGGCCAGCCTTCTGGCAGCTGCTTTGACTCAAGGAATTCCAGGACCATGATGGGGACCTCCCTGAGTCACTCTGTCCCAAAGTAGGACCCCTTTGGCTCCAGATCTCCAACAAAAATATACATCCCACTGCAGGTCCCAGTCAATGTACCTACTACAAATAGGAAGGACACTGGAAGAGAGATTGCCCATGTCTTTGGAAGGCTTGTATTGGGAAGGATCTTCTTCCTATTCACCCGATGCCTGAGTCAGCTGGGAGGCTTACAGCTGAAGTTGTTGAGGATGGGGAGCAAGCATGATGAGGCCCAGGTGTTGCTCTCAACCCAAGCAACACTCCATATTTCTTGCATGGAGTCCCAGGTCATGAAGACAGTGGGAAATCAACTTTTGGACTTTCTAGTAGGTACTGGCACCACTTACTCAGAAATAAACACCCAGTTGTCTCAACTGTCCTCAGAGACTATAAAAGTGACTGGAGTCTCAAGAGAAATCTTGATGAAGCCATCCATACCTTCAACTCTGAGGTGATGGATAATCTGATTACCCTGATTTGATTAATTCACATTGTATGCCTGTATCAAAACATCACATGTACCCTATAAAGATATATAAATATTATTTACTCATAAAAATTAAAAATAAAAAAATTCATCCTTAACCCTGATACACAGAGATAATGCTGAATTTATTATATATTTTTATAATGTAATATAGTACAATATTAATATAAACTATACAGAATTTTACAAAGATGGGATCACATTATCCTGTTTTTTTTTTTATTTTGGCATATTATGGGGGTACAGATTTTAAGGTTTCAATAAATGCCCATTTCCCCCCCTCCCCCCAAAAGTCTGAGTCTCCATCATGACCATCCCCCAGATGGTGCACATCTCACTCATTATGTATGTATATACCCGCCCCCTCCCCCCTCCCACCTGCCCAATACCCTATTACTGTAGTACCTATGTGTCCACTTAGGTGCTACTCAGTTAATACCAGTTTGCTGGAGAATATATCTGGTGCTTGTTTTTCCATTCTTGGGATACTTCACTTAGTAGTATGGGTTCCAGCTCTAACCAGGAAAATATAAGATGTGCTATATCACCATTGTTTCTTAGAGCTGAATAGTACTCCATGGTATACATATACCACATTTTATTAATCCATTCTTGGATTGATGGGCACTTGGGCTGTTTCCACAGCCTTGCAATTATGAATTGTGCTGCTATAAACATTCGAGTGCAGGTGTCTTTTTTGTAGAGTGTCATTGGATCATTTGGGTAGATGCCCAGCAGTGGGATTGCTGGATCAAATGGTAGATTCACTTGTATCGCTTTAAGGTATCTCCATATTGCTTTCCACAGAGGTTGAACTAATTTGCAGTCCCACCAGCAGTGTAGGAGTCATTATTTATTTTTAATCTACCATTAAAAATAAGAATTAAACTTTTTTTAGTAAAAGATAATACATCTTTAACACAGAAAAGTAAAAAAAAATACAGATAATTGTAATGGAAAAACAACTGTTAATATAACCATACAGAGACATGATTTTGATATCAGTTTAATCTGTATATGTCTGAGCTTTTAAAAATGAGTGTGTATATACACATAAATGTATGTGGACATTTTTATAAACAATATCATATTTTAGATTCTGTTTTACATATACATTTTGATAAATCTGTGTGTATATCTTATATGTTTATACATCTAAATCATAATTATTAATGACTGCACAATAACATTGTTGTATAATGTGGCATCATTTATTTACCAAATCTATGTTGAGCAGTAGGTAATTTTTAATTGTTTGCTATTGTTTATGTTGCCTCAATTGACCTTGCTGAAGACACATATTTTTACACTTGTTCAATATCTGCACAATTATTTCTAAGGCTTTTGATACAGAATGCCAAGTTTCTCTTGGAAGGGTTGTAGAACTGACAGTCCTGCCAGCAGCAGTACATGCAGCCTGTTTCCAAACACTCCACATCCGCACCGTCATTGGATTTTTCAGTCAGAGTGCCTTTGACTGCAAGTAATGGGAACCAGGAGGTGGTATGGCTTTAACATAGACAGCTTGGTTTGAAATCTTGATTCTGTCACTAACCAGCTGTTTGACATAGGACATATTTTGAAGTTTTCTGGGCTTCCATTTCCATGTTGATATCAATATTCATCTTGTATGGCTATTTTAAGGATTAAATGAGATGATAGCTATAAATGCATTTAGAATTATCCCTGGCACATAAACAGCAAACATAGGCTGTTTTATTATTTATATACTTAAAATGACATGATACACTGGTGTGATGTTGTCATCTTGCTGGTTCCTACATTGTTGCTACTTAATTCAGTAACAGGCAAAGATTTTTCTGTTTGATGCTTATCTTTTACAAAATCATACTATGTCTACTTTGTATTCTAAATCTTGCAACAGCCTCCCAAAATAAAATTCTGAGCTAAGATATGAAATTTAACAGCACTGTAGGGTCTAATCTTGCATACCTTGTAGAATGAACTCCTGAGACTGAACATCTTAAAGCTCATTAGTTTGGGAAACGAAGAGCAGGCAAAGAGTATTTCCTTTTTAAAAATTTTAACAGCCATTATACTACTTTACTTACAGAGTATAACTACAAACTCTAGGATTCCATCACTCTAAATGCACTGCTGCATATTTCCAAATAACAGGACATAGCCGAAAATTGCTGAGACATGGCAACTGGCAGACTAATCAAACACAGAAATTGGTGCATGTGGGGTGGTTGTTTTTATAGCAAATGCCAAACTGCATCTCTGGCCCTGCATGGCTGCATGCGCAGCAGGGCAGGTGGGGTGGGGGCGAGAAAAAAAATAAAAGAGAAAAAAACCCCACACTGACAACAACATAAAACCTCCAGCTGAAAATTCCAAACAAACAAATAAACAAACAAAACAAATAACAGTGCCCTCTGTGAATGCACTACTGAAGAAAATACAAAAGTGCCAGTCCATTTTTCTTGGGCACTCTGGTATCATAATGCCATCTTAGAGGTAAAGAAAATAGCATTCCGGTACTTCAGAGAAAAGCAGCCAAAAGAACAACTGTCCAGTCAAGAAGGAGTAGAAGGAACCTGGAGTGTTCAGCCTGGAGAAGATTTAGGCAAGTCATGATAACAGATTTAGAATAGTTGAGGCATGAGACTTGCTTTATCTCCTTGGTTGGAAACAGAACAAATAGACAGAAATTATGAAGAGGCACATTCTGGTTATTAAGGTCCAATGTAAAGGAAAATTAAATTAGCACTGTAATATAAATATTATAGTTTTATCCTTTCAACAGAGCTACATCAAACTGAGGTGTGTGTGTGTGTGTGTATTAAAAATACTTATTCTTCTAAAAAGGCAATATATTTAGGAGTTCTGAGGAATTTATAGAATTTAGGAATTTATGGTAAATTGTGGGCTTTTTAATGCATAATTTATGAACTAATCATTTTTCACATTTGAATGTGATCTCTCATGTCCATGGATGCATATTTCCTTACCTCCGTCCTTCCTTCCATCCTTCCTCTCTCCCTTCCTTCCTTTCTTCTCTCTCTCTCTCTCTTGATTTATTTCAGATAACAGCTTTGAGGGTATTGGAAGAACTCAATTTAGTAATTATGCAGTGACCTCTGAGATTAATGTAATTGGGAGAAATGTTTCCTGACCTAGTAGAACCTACTGGGTCATCCCTGAGGTAGGGTGGGGTGAATCTGCTGCCAGTGTTTCCTAAGCACACAGGCTTAACAAGAGAGACTTGTGATGGTTGATTTTGGGTATCAACTTGACTGGAGTAAGGGATACCCAGATAGCTGGTAAAGCATTAATTCTTCAGGAGTCACTGAGCTCATCCCTCTTCTGCTGAAAGGAAAATTCAGGTGGTTTGGCATTTGATTAGAATGATTAGGCTGCCCTAGGTATCTCTGGGAGGGTATTTCTGGAAGAGATTGGCATTTGAATCAATGGACTGAGTGGAGAAGATCCACCCTCAATGTGGGTGGGCACCATCCAATCAGCTGGGGGCCCAGATGAAACAAAGAGGTGGAAGAAGGGTGAATTCTTGCTGTCTCTTCTGGAGTGTGGACACTCTTATTCTCCTGTCCTTGGATGTCAGAACTCCATGTTCCTTGGCCTTTGGACTCTGGGACTCACACGAGTGGCCCGCTGGCTCTCAGGCCTTTGGACTTACTAAGCCATGCTACCAGTTTCCCTGGTTCTGTAGCTTGCAGACGGCCTATCATGGTACTTTTCAGTCCTGATAATAGAGAGAGCCAATTCCTTTAATAAATCCCTTGTCATCTCTCTCTATACAAAGCTTTTGGGTTCTGATTTCCATTATGTCCTGGGGAGCTGAAGAAAGGGCTCTATCTCAGACTGCGTCTACCTGCTTAGGCAAGCCGGCTGCCTAGCACCATGTCCTACAGAGAGTAAGCACTCAAATACTTAATGATGAGGGGGAGAAAAAGGATGGCGATGATGGCCATGGAAACAGTGTGTGGAGGTGGCGATTATGTCATGGTGATGATAACAGCACTTTTTATTTTAAAAAACTTAAAGAATCAATTTTTTTTCATTGAAAACTTATTAAGAATCAATTTTTATACATTGGGGTAGAATTAGGAAACTTTGCTGAAAGGCATATATTCTGGAACAGGTTTTCAGTTTCCTTTCATGCAGTAAAGTTATTTCTGGTAAAGCTCAATCCCAGGTTTTATCTGCTAGAAGTCAATTTCAACCTCCCGTTTGTTCACTCATTAAAAGGGCTTGGGCGTCAAAACTTGGACAGGGCTCAGAAGTGCTGTAGCAGCCTTGACCTCAGAATTTCAAAACCGAAGGATTCAGAGAGGGAATGAAACTGGAATTCTGATAAATGCTATTTTAGCCAGCAAACCAAACAACACCTAGAGCCCACCCACTTTCCACACTCAAGGCTTTCCTTTGTTTCCAGACTCTAACAGGAACAGGCCAGTTAATTGCCTTTCTAACAACTTGGCCCTGGTCCAGAATGCACACGGTGGATCCTACTGCCTCTGCTTTTCTCTCAGGTTTGCTCTTCCTTCTCCCCTCCTATCATTTCTCCCCATGGCTGCCCTCTTTTCCAACACTTTCAACTATGCTCAGAACATTTAATACTAGCAGCAGTATTAAATATCCTGACTGTAATAGGATTTGGCACCCCAAAGTGGAGTGCTGCCATAAAAACTTCTAAAATACATGGCACTGGCTTGAGATTGGCAGCGAGAAAACTGGGACTGGAGGCTGGAAAATGAAAATCCGTCCAATATTGTGATAAAACATTTGGTAAAATAGGTGCCTGCTGTGATTTAAAGGCAGATGTGACTTGTTACTTCTAATGAGCTTGTTGCTCCAGGAGGAGAGGCTAGAAAAGAAGACATTAATAGTGTGTGTTCGTAATTACTGGGTGCATCTTGTGTTGCAAGAAAGAAATGCACTCAGGGGTGCAAGCAGACATGGAAGAGAAGAGGGAAAAGGTGATGTGCCAAATACTCTTGTAAGTTTCTTTAATTCTCGCAAAAGCCTATGAAATTTTATTAATACTTTACAGATATGGAAAAATGGGCTTAGGAAGTAAATAATTTGCCCAAGATCAACTAGTCAGTAGAGAGACTTGGCTTTGAAGTTCTATTCAAGTTGCTATTTAAATTCCAAAATCCATATTCTTAACAACATATTCTGGTTAATCCCTAGAATTTTTTAAGAACCCTGGCACCTGGTTTACAATATGCCTCTCTGCCACTAACTAACTCCTGTCAATCTGTGTTTTTTATTTTATTGTTTTGAGGCAGGGTTGCCCAGACTGGAGTGGTGTGATCATAGCTCACTCCTGAGCTAAAGCAATCCTCTCGCCTCAGCCTCCTGAGTAGTAGGGCTACAGGTGTACTTCCTCATGCTCAACTAACTTTTAAAACTTTTTTGTAGAGATAGGGTCTTGCTGTATTGCCCAGGCTGTTCTCAAACTTCTGGGCTCAAGAAATCTTCCTGCCTTGGCCTCCCAAAATGTTGGGATTAGAGGTGTGAGCCATCCTGCCCAGCCTGGGTGTTTTAAATATCCATCGGGACAATCCCTCCAATTCCCTAATTTATAATTTTCTTGCCATGCTTTGGACAATGACTTTACCTCCACACCTCTTGAGCATCTTACAAGGCACACCTTGGACTCTTATCAATCTTTCCCCTCAAAAACTATTTGACAACCCAAATTTCACTTTGCAAATACAACCACCAAATTCCCCCTCTTTGTAAATGCATCATTCCCAATATTCCTGTTCTGATACTTCTATTTCTTTTTCCCTGGTTTATCCTCCCCTACTTAGCTTCTCTCCATTTTTTTCTTAAATCTATGACCTACCCTCTCAAGTAAATAATCTAAATTGTCCAATCACCCTCACCCTTTCAGCCTCTTTGCCCTCTGTTTTCTAGTGCACTTGCCTGTCAAACCTATCACCCCACACCAATATAGCCATCTGCCTTCTAAACCCATATGTTGGAGAAAATGAAACCACATTGCCCATTGGGAGTCTCCAAATTATGGCTTCCAGTTATACCAGTTGTTAAGCTATGGTCTCTTGGCTTCAAATCATTCTTGTATACTCTGTGATTCTGGAGCTGAGACACTGCAAACTACATTTCCCCTATCCTGTAGTTAATCTGTAATAACACCATGGAGCTTGGGTATTTTCAAACTTTTTTGACATTCCAACTCTTTTTATGGTAGTACATAATGTCATCATCTCATTGCATCATTTATGGAAGTTATATGATGAAGTAGGGATGTGATGTTAAAATTGTCTTATTTTAGATAAGCATGTTAAAATTTGTAATTAAGGAATTTCAGTTAAATGTAACACATCTAGATGTATTTAGCAAGGAATATGCTCTATTTTATTTTATATTTTTAGAGACATAGCCTTGCTTTGTCACCCAGGCTAGAGTGCAGTGACATGATCATAGCTCACTGTAGCTTTGAATTCCTGGACTCAAAGAGCTTCCTATCTCTACCTCCTGAGTAGCTAGGACTACAGGTGTGTGCCATCATGCCCATTACTTTTTAAAAAATTTTTTGTAGAGACAGGATCTCCTTATGTTGCCCAGGCTGATCTTGAATTCTTGGCTTCAGGTGTTCCTCCCATCTCAGCTTCCCAAAGTGCTGGGATTGTAGGCATGAGTCACAGCACCTGGCCGACTGTTTACTTTAAATTGATAAATTAGAATATGTTTTTTATCAAATTAAAAAATGACATTATTTTATGTTTGAGGGTTAATAGAAAAACAATGGCTTCAGATAAACGTAGAAAATACCAAGGAAAACCTCAAAGCCCTGAGGGTACTTAGAAGCACTTATACTCCTTATAAACTGGTTGAGTTTGTTTGTAGCTGCTTTTGCTGTCCTGTAGTACTCTTTAGCTCATTTTACTACTAAAATTCCCACCTAGATGAAAATTATAATAGTATAAACATAACATGGGTCATGTAAAGACACATGGTGGATATATTATGCATGCTTAGTATGTTTAGCCGAGTGCTAATATTATGCTGATATTATGACTTCTTTTCCTCTGGGTAGATTTCCTTTGGTGGTATTGAAGGATTGAATGGTAAATCTACTTTTAGTTCTTTGAGCAATCTCCATAGAGGTTGTACTATTTTTTTTTTCTTTTTTTAAATTTTTTTATTCTAATTACTTCAACCTCATGAGCCTGGAAGAGGTTGTACTATTTTATATTCCCACCAGCAGTATATGAGCATTTACTTTTCACCCTATCTGTACCAACATCTATTGTTTTTTGACTTTTTAATAATTACCATTCTAAATGGAGTAAGATGGTATCTCATTGTGGTTTTAATTTGTATTTCCCTGATCATTAATGATGTTGAGCATGAGTCTCTTTCTTAAACTGTACATTTTTGTGGTTTGTAACTAAGGTTAAAAATTGGTTGGCTGGGTGTGGTGGCTCACGCCTGTGACTGTAGCATTCTGGAAGGCTGAGGCAGGAGGATTGCTTGAGCTCAGGAGTTGGAGACCAGCCTGAGCAACAGCAAGATCCTGTCTCTTCTAAAAATAGAAAAATTAGCCAGGTGTGGTGCACACCTGTAGTCCCAGCTACTTGGGAATCTGAGGCAAGAGGATCTCTTGAGCCCATGAGGTTGAGGTTGCAGTGAGCCATGATGATGCCACTGCACGCTACTGAGGGCAAGAGAGTGAGACTCTGTCTCGGAAAAAAAAAATCGGCACAAAGTGATTTGTTCCTAATCAGAAAGAGATTGGGTATTCACTTTGATTTTTACTTTTCCCTTGGAGAAGAGATTTATGAGAACAGATTGATAATTGAAAATATAGCTTAATTTTGATTACTTCAAGGCTTAAAATAATTTTATTAAAATGTTGCTTCAACAAATATATTTAAAAAAATTTATTTCAAATTAGGCTTCAATTGTTATACAGCAAGCTGTCTGAGTCAGAAAGGGCCAAAATTTTGTGCTTTGGGAGCGGTCATGTTCTGAATGTATGGAGAGCATGTATATTGGAACAATGTCTTGGGATTTATGGTGTTGAGCATCCTGGCTTTTAACATTGATAGCAGCAGGGTGATTTGGTGGTTATCTAATTTCAAAAGAAAGAGACTTTTGAATTCTACCTGGTGAGCTGATCAATTTTAGATGTGCTCAGCAATAAGGAGGAAAGGCAGATTTCAGACTGTGTTCAGAGAGCCTGTTGGGCATTGTGTTGAGGAGCTGAGTCAAAACTCACAGTCCAGTTGGAAAAATAAGAGAAAAGACTGATGTTAGCTTAAAAATCTGCTAGCAAAGTCAATTATTATTGAGTTCAAAGACAGATTAAAAAATAGCTAATTATAAAAATGAGTCTATGGACTTCATTATAAGCAATAAAATGAACACTCATTAAAAAGGTATAAAATTCATCATTTTGCAGCTCAATAAGTATCAAAAATGGAAAATTAACCTATTCTTTTAATGATAATCAGTAATGGTATTAGTATATTATGTATTTGTTACATGCTAAATATTCTAGGTCTTCTGCATGTACTTAATTTTTAAGATATCTTTTCAAGAAAGCATTCACTTTATTGTTTTATAGGTGGAGAAACTGAGCCTAGAGAATTTAAAGCCACGAAGCTAGGAGGAAATGCAGCAGAAATTGGAACCCAGGATGTGCTGGTAGGACTTTAAGTGATTTGCAATCCCCATGCTCCCTCCCTTTAAGATGTGAATGATGAACTCTTGATACCTGTGTTAGTGTCAGTCATATTAGTAACTAACAAATTAGTTACTCACAAACCTTGGTGGCTTAACATAATAGAATTTTCTTCTCATTTGCCCTTGGTTGCTGTCATTAGACCCATGTTGATGGTGACCCTACCACCTCCAGCATGTGGCTGCTTTCAAGGTGACTGGAGGCATTGACATTTAGGCTACCAGATTTAGCAAATAAAAATACTATATACCCTGATAAGTATAAATGTCCCAAACATTGCATGGGATGTACTTACACTGAACATTAAAAACTTGTTGTTTTTCTGAAATTCAAATTTAAATGCATGTTTTACATTTTTATCTGGCAACCCTAGTTAACGTCAAATGGATGATGGGATGGCTGGTAAACATGGAAAACCTTTTGGGAAGTTTTTATGGGACATGCCTAAAAGTGGCCAAATGTTAGGTTGTTACCAAGGAAATGTGGACAAACCTATCTATATTATAGCATCACCTAGCCATAAATAAGGGGTATTGGAAAGTGGGTGGATATTTATCAACATCAACATTATGCTATTGAAGAGTGGCACAAATCATGGACATCTTACTATCTCTGCCATAGCACATGAGCAGGTAATGCATGCCAATTTGTGGGTGGGCCTATTTCTGCACATAGAGGCAACATGTGATAGGAATGAAACACTTTGTCTTGACAAATCTGGACTTACACCATAGAATAATCTCTAGCTATGTGGCTTCGGTAAGTTACTTTACCTCTCTGAGCCTATTTCCTCACTGATCAAATGGAGATACAGAATATCCTTAGAGAATTTTTAAGAGGATTAAATCAGGTAATACGTGTACTTTGCACTGTATCTGGGAGCATATGATGGTAGTTACTTCTGTGAGGCATGGAATAGAAGTATTTGCCAATCTATTTACTTTGTGTCTTTTTCTTTTCCTAATGTTTTCTGGTGACTAAAAGAAAATAAAAGTTACTTTTTAAACTGATACCTGGACTAGTAAGGCTTGGTTTTTAAGTACTCATTTTATGAATTGTGGCTGAAAACTAATAATACTTAAAAAATACATAATGGTAGTAAAAGTTAATATGTTCTGTGTTGGTAATAGTTAAAAGTTATAGGAAAACTGAATATCTGATTGGGTAAAGAAATATTTTTAAGACAGGAAACTTATTAAATTTGAATGATAAATAATGAGTATGCTTTACTTATCAGATGTAAATATTTACCTAGGTAGTCTATTCACACACACAAATTATTACTCTGACTTCTCATTGCACTGCCTTATAACTTTTTCTGAGCACGCTTGGTGCTTAGAACTAAAATTATGTCATTCTTCAGAATGATGGGTTTTATGAAGACTTATCTGTCAAGTAGCCAGCTGTGTTATGGCAGGTCATTCAGATTCTTTCTCCTCTCACTTTAATTTACTTTCAGAGAGAGACGGCTGGCAAGGTTTAAGCAAGCATGATAAAGACTAATTAAAGAGTTGTTCCCCAAATCTCCTTGAAATTAGAGGTTGAGTCACTGAAATAATTCACATTTCATAACTCAAAATAAGCAAAACTTTGAATCTTTACAAGAAAATTGGAGAGCTATATGGATTATCCAATTCTTTGCTGTGGAATTGTGCAATTGAATTTAGAATATAATAGAATTTGTGTTTCCAATAAAACTAACTCAGAATAGCTTCACATCATGGAACTAAATTAGGCCATAACTCCCTCTAATTAGTTTGGATAGTAATAGTTTTAGTCCTTAATCACACCTTTTAGTGAAGAATTCTGAAGTTCTTAGAATAAAGTCTATTGTTCTACATCTTTGGGAGCAGTTCTTGAGAGGGGAAGCTAATACATACAGTGACAAAACAGGTGATCTAAAGAGTATTTTTAATCATCTAGTTTATGAGTTTTTAAAAATTTGAAAATTGGAAGTATATTATATAACTGTTTACATGTATTCTGAAGCATGTTTAATGGTAGACTATACCATTAATATTTCATTTTCTGGTAACTTCATTAAGGTTTTGGATATCAATTGAAAAGTTGTGCAGATATCTTGGTTAGGGGAGAGAAAAACCTTCTCTCAGATGATTTGTTTTCTGCATCTACTCTTCCCTTCTCAAGAAATAGTTAACATTTGCAAATCAGCTCTTTATTGTGTGCAGAAGCCTTTATCTCGTGCCTTCTTATAGTCTTCAAATCTGTCTGTCCTTGATACCTGCTATCTTCTAGATTGAGAAAGAGGCATTGTGAGAATGTCATCATTGAGGTTTGGTTGCCCTACTTTAGAAAGCAGTGAGTGTGGAGATAGTGAGGAGGCTTCAGGGAGATGTTTAGATGGGATCTCTGAGACTAGGATTCAAACCAAGGAAAAGAAAAGTGGGACAAAAATAATGTTTTGTTTCTGTTCAGATTAAATTTGAGGATGAGTTTATGGAAAGCGGGTTGTTTACTTTGAAGTTAAAGGCCTGCATAGAAAAATGGGGCTTAAATCTTTTCAGCAGTGACATTTTCATTGATGCCATTAATCATTTATTAAAAACATGAAGGGCACATGAGACCAAACTAAGGACAAGGTGAAGGGGATGTATCTGTGGGATATAGTGAAGTATGTTTTGAGGATGAGAGCCAGCATGGAGGTGTGGGTCAGGAGTTTTCAGAAGAATGACAATGATCTATATACTAATAGATCTACATGGAAAAATTGTAAAAATTAATGAAGTAAACTTATTTTTCCTATGGCCCTAAATGAGTTTTATCTTTCAAATATATTTAAACAATAGGTAGCCATGTTAAGAAGGGAGGAGCCCTAGCTGATAAATGTATTTAGTTTTTTCTAGTTTGTCATTGAAAAGTTGAATTAAACCACAGATTCTGGGCAAACCACTTTAGTATGATTAAAAACATTCATTACATTTTTCTCCTAAAAGCAGCTTCCCTAAAGCATGGAAAAATATTAAAAATGCATTCACATTAAAGTCTGATTCTTTTTCTAAATTGGAAAACATGAAAGTGCATTAAATTTTTTTTCCTATGAACGTCATTATAGTAATAAGGAATTTGCTGGTGATGAATTTCTAGAGAAAACATGACCCTATCTCATCTTTTAGCTTTCTTCTGATAAAAACATTTGTAGATAACCCATCACGCTTGCAATGGAATGTTAATAGAAAGTAAAATCCATGGACATTGAGGTTGACTTGACCTTGGAGTAATAATCCCACAGCCCCACATTTCATGAAATAGAGAAAAAATGAACTTTAAGTATATGATTACTTAGACCTTATTCCATGAGTTATTGGTCTCAGCTGTATCTTCTTATGTCCTTGCTTCTTTTTGTACCTTTTCATTTCTTGGCAGTACCTTTACCTTTAATCATTCAGGCAAAGAAAGGTAAGGTACAAATGAGTCAATTTTTCCTTAGGTATTAAAAATTCTGATTAATGTTTCAATATGGAAACAGGTTCAAGCTATTTGATAAAATAAAATTTTGAGCTACTCCTAGGCTATTTCTAGCTATTGTTAATGTGATGCCTTTATCATCGTTAGTAAATATTTTTAGTGTCATTACATTTTGTTATGTGGAGGGCAATTTGTTAGTAACAAAATGGAGTAAGGTGTGGTTGCTGTCCTAACTATAATACATTCCAGCTAGGGACAGATGTTTACTGTTGTATTTATAGATACTATTAAAGTAGTATCGGTTTGTAAGAGACAAGACTCCTGAAATTAGTGGACTAACACAATTAGAAGTTTTTCTCACTTTTGTGAAGTCCAAAATATCTTGTGTGGTAGAAAGAATAATGACCCTTCCCCCGAAGATGTCTGTGTTCTAATTCCTAGAACCTGCGAATGGCAAAAGACTTTGAAGATGTTATTAAGTTAAGGATATTGAGATGGGAAGATTTTCCTGGATTATCTAGGAAGGCCCAATCTAATCATAAGGGCTCATAGAAGGGGGGAAGGGAGGCAGGGTAGACAGAGGCATGTGATGACAGAGGAGAAGGAGGGAGAGAGAGGATGGGAGACGCTGTGTTGCTGGCTTTGAAGGAGGATGGGCTCATGAGCCAAGGAATGCAGGTGGCCTCTAGAACTAGAAAAGGCAGGAAATATTAATAGATTCTCCCCTGAAGCCTCCAGAAGAAACACAGCCCTGCCAACATATTTTAGGACTTCTGACTTCCAGAACTGTCAAAGAATACATGATGTTTTAAACCATTGAGTTTGTTGTCATTTGTTACAGCAGCAATAGGAAACTAATGCACCTTCCATGTGGTCATTCAGGAATCCAGTCTCCTTTCATTTTATGATGCCGTCTGATACTAGGGCCTTGGAATCTAATCTGCTGCATTTATCCAGTGGGTAGAGAAAGAGCATAAAGGATGGCACATGGGAGATTTTTATGGAGCAGGGTAGTAAGTGGCAATGCAATTTCTATTCCTATCTCATTGTTTTCACCCATACCAAGATGTCATATTGACCAAAATTTCCCTTTAGGTGTTATTGTTACCAGCTGCACCTTGAATCCCTCAGTTCTTTTTTGAAGAATATAAGTGAGCAACAAAGAATGCATTGCAAGCAGAGAGAGTTTACTGAAGTGAAAGTACGCTCTTGAAACTTAAGAGTGGGCAGACGTCTGAGCCGATTGTGGCCCCAGGTTTTCTGCGTCACCTGTTTTCTCCTGTCTGGCCTCTCCTCCTCCTTTATGACGTCTCTTCCCTTTATTTTCTTTCTTTCTTTACTTTTTTTTCAAGAGAGAGTCTCACTCTGTCACCTGGGCTAGAGTGCAGTGGCGTCATTACAGCTCACAGCAATCTCAAACCCTTGGGCTCATGTGATCTTCCTGCCTCAGTCTCCCGAGTAGCTGGGACTACAGGTATGCACTACCACGCCGGGCTAATTTTTTCTATTTTTAGTTGTCCAGCTAATTAATTAATTA